TGGTCACTTCCTATAACATACGAACGTGTTTACTTACACTCACACCAACGTGGTTACTTCCTATAACATACGAACGTGTTTACTTCCACTCACACCAACGTGGTCACTTCCTATAACATACGAACGTGTTTACTTACACTCACTTCCAGATACACGGATATGTGTATAGTGAAGTCCGTTCCTAAATTCCTTTTAGTCAGCAGCTATTAAACTTCCACGTAAGGTCATATAAACACACAGTGTCAATATTAATAAACTGTAATAATTATTTTCTTTTCAGAAACAATCTTTTCGACATTTAGCTTCGAGATACAAAAACTAGACGTCACTTTGACTTAAACGTAACGATTTACTTTAATTTTTTACATCAATTTCATAAGGGATATGAAACTGCCGTAGTGCACCATCCGTGGCATGTCGTAATGCACCATATCGTGGCATGTCTGCTCGCCGAAAATTTACGATCTTCGAATTTTTCGAGCTAATTTATATTGTTAGAAAGAATTTTTCGCGTGAATTTAAGTTTTTGACCACAAAAAAAAACATTCGACTTCGCACTTTAAAGAAAAGATATTCGAAATCGTTCTTAAAATTCATAGACGCTTCTTCGGTGAGTGATTGAAGACAGGCCGCCGATTAAGTGCCTACGTTTATAAAATGTTTGGGTCTTTTATGGTGTGTAAATAGTGCCATAATTTGATCCTATAGCACTCAAACGTCCTTTCTCACTGGGTCAGGATGATTTATACAGGGGCAAAAATTGCATCCCTATTTGGACAAAGCCCCATTCATTCTGCTGAGAGTATGAGGTTCGATTTCATTTAGAGAAAGTTTGGCTGGTAGAAACCATGACGTGACCAAGCTACTAACTACTCCGGCATCCTGAACGTTTTGCGGGAACTCGTGCGAGTAACTGTAGAGCTAAACACATTGCAATGAACAGTTTATCTCGTGGCATTCTAAAAAAAGAAAATTGGCCACTTTTTAAACTCCCGGAAATTGTTCAAAGAAACGTTGCATCTGTGCATATATTTTCAATTATAAGATATATCAATTTCTTCATATCTCGTGTCGACGGGATGTCAAAAATTTCACAATGAATATCTTCATAATTGACGCTGCTCTATCCTGTTATCCTTCTTTTCCTTCAATTTATATTCTTAGCTCGGCATCGATCAAGTTATGGCAAATTCTTAATACGATGGTCATAATAACACAATGGCCATAATGATTTCTTCGATTAAATTTTATGCCTGGAACGTAAATGCTGGACTCCGGATTTTCGTAGAGCTTAAAATAATTGTAGAACTCCAATCATTGCAGAACTTGTACTTCGGTTATAGTATGGAATTGTTAAAGGTGTCAGCATAAGGCTGTTAGATCGATCGCCGATTCCCAACATCGCAGAATATTTAATGTTTCTTTGCGGTATCGAACATGCAATTTACTATTTCAATTTCGCTTTGCTGAAAACCGCCCGGTAACCTCGATGCTTTAGACCAGAACTCTCGCAGGTAGCTAAGATCAAACCACCAACACAACTCTGCTCCAATCTCGGTACTCTGAACCATAACCACTGGCCATATTCGCACGTATCGACCGAACGTACGCGAAATGCTAGCATGGCGGGCAACATTGCTATACGAGTGCGCGGCTGGACAAGAGAAACAGAATGTGTCGTTACGAAACGCAATCCCTTCCCCTCCATTGGCCCCCTCCCATGCATGCTCCAATAATCCTTCTACTCCCCTCTCCCTTACTCACTCTTTGCTCCCTTCCCTTACTCCTTCTATGCCATTCTCTCATGCTCAATTTACCCAACTTTTCTTTACAGACTCTTTACTCTCTCTTTGCTTTGCTCCCTTTATTCCTCTATCTCCCCGTTCTATTCTTCCCCTCCACCATCGTTCATCCGTCTATCCGCCCCCCTCCCCCGCGTCAAGGCCTCGCTCAAGACAGCGGCGCTCACGTCACGCCGCCCCCGCCAGCGGCCGCTGACCTGACGTGACACGTGACTTACGTGACGTGACACGTGACTTACGTGACGTGCCACGTGACTTACGTGACGGCAGCTATGCCACGTAGCTTAGTTAAAGCACGCCACACTGCAGATTATCTGGGTCTACTGCAGATTATCTGGGTCTATTGCAGATTATCTGAGTCTACTGCAGATTATCTGGGTCTACTGCAGATTATCTGGGTCTACTGCAGATTATCTGGGTCTACTGCAGATTATCTGGGTCTACTGCAGATTATCTGGGTCTACTGCAGATTATCTGGGTCTACTGCAGATTATCTGGGTCTACTGCAGATTATCTGGGTCTACTGCAGATTATCTGGGTCTACTGCAGATTATCTGGGTCTACTGCAGATTATCTGGGTCTACTGCAGATTATCTGGGTCTACNAGTAATACACTGAAAACGCTACCCTGAGTAATACACTGAAAACTTTACCCTGAGTAATACACTGAAAAGTTTACCCTGAGTAATACACTGAAAACGCTACCCTGAGTAATACACTGAAAATTTTACCCTGAGTAACACACTGAAAACCTTAGCCTGAGTAATACACTGAAAACTTTACCCTGAGTAATACACTGAAAACTTTACCCTGAGTAATACACTGAAAACTTTACCCTGAGTAATACACTGAAAACTTTACCCTGAGTAATACTCAGAAAACTTTAGCCTGAGTAATACACTGAAAACTCTAGCCTGATAAATACCCTGAAAACTTTAGCCTAAGTAATACACTGAAAACTCTAGCCTCAGTAATATACCGAAAACTTTACCCTGAGTAATACACTGAAACCTTTCCCCTGATCGAGTAATACACTTCAAATTTACCCTGATTAATCTACTGAGAACTTTTTCCTGGGTAAACGAAGACCAATTTTCTTTAGTAATACAGCGATAACTTTTCCCTAGGTAATGCGGTGATACTCTTCCGTGAGTGATGGGTCGATAAATTTCAAGTATAGCATCTCAACAACGTTTTTGTTTCCTTGCAAGGTCTTCTTTTTGCTACGCTGCCACGCAGACGCTTCTCTAACTTCTAACTTCCGATAAGCTAAATAACTTCTCTATGGATAAGATTAAGATTAATATTGAATAATATTTACATTATTTGGACGAAGTCGTCATTCTGTTAAAAGTTCGATGACATCACCAACGGGTGAAGGTACTCTACTATATACTCTTATATTAGGCTCGTCAGGTACATAGTCCAATAGCTCGATCTGACGTGTTGATTGCCATTACTAATTATACAAAATAATTATCCCTGAGGATACTAATAAAATCAATTGACTGATATTAATAAATGCCCCAGTTGAGGACCATATATCACAGCAGCTGCTGCAAATATAGGATCGTTACTCAAGGCGCATCGATGTTGCCGGCCGTACAGCTTCTGTGAGGTCCGAATTCTACACGGCGTGGCCGCCGGTCTGCCGGTGATATTCTTTAACGCGGGACTCCCCAACTGAATATGACTCCCTAACTGAGTAATAATTTAAAATTAATTAATTCTTAATATTAATTGTTCAATCGATAATAATTATAATTGAATAGTTAATATAATTAATTAATCAATATTAATTATAATTAATAAATAATTTAGTTAATTAAAAATCATTAATAAAATAATAATCAATAATTAACTAATATTTATAATAATTACTAATTGATGAATAATTGCTGCCACGTTAATTGTATTGATGCCTAGAAACCGTTTGAAGAAACAAGCCTATAGGTATTTAGATATAAAAATAAGAGCTCAGGTATGACCATAGGTGTGTGGATAGCGACGTAACACAGCAGGCATGATCATAGGTCATACATAGACATAGGTCATACATAGACATTATACATAGACATAAGAGAGCGGATCTGTTCACAAGCATGCAGGTATGATCACATTAGAGCGGCATACATGGGTATGAAGTCTACATGAATATAACGCCTACATTGACATGGTGCCTACATGGACATGACGCCTACATGGGCATGGTCCACAATTTCATATATCCTACATCGACATAAGGTAATACACTGAAAAGTAAAAGTTCCCTGTTCAATATCACATGAGATCTACATAGCCCTTCTGCCAACATGGACATGACACTGAGATGAAAATAGCTCTTTCAGGGAACTTAAAACTACAAGCCTTCTTGGACATGCCTTCATCATCAGCATACCTACATGAACATGATTAGTTCATATATAGACTCAAAGCCTACATGAAAATAAAGCCTACATGTGCATGCAGTCAAGATGGAGGCCTACATGTGCCTACTCAAGACTGGCAGAACAAAGGGGCGTGGCCGACGCGATGCTGCAGGCTAAAGTGATGTGAAAGTAGCGCTGCGCCGTGCGCCTTACTGCGCCTCGGGATCTGCAATGCGCCTTACTGCGCCTCGGGATCTGCAATGCGCCTTACTGCGCCTCGAGATCTGCAATGCGCCTTACTGCGCCTCGGGATCTGCAATGCGCCTTACTGAGCCTCGGAATCTGCAATGCGCCATAGGATCTTGCATTCTAATTTCGGATAATTGTTGAATTTTCATGTTATGTCCATTCGCAATTCTTGTAAACGAGAAAACTTAAATAATATTTCATTTGAAAAGTCCGACATGCAACAAGTTCAAATATTTTATAATTATGTGTGCATTGCAGTTCTCTCATCAAACTGGATATATTCAGCGACATAAGTTGTCATTAGGACAGAATATTATAACCCTAACATTCACTATGAATGAAAAATATTTTGCATACATATTATACAAACTGGATGTTTCCTGTTCAATTGGCATGAATTAAATTTCTGTGTAGCTTTCTTTTATCGTAGGACGTTCTTACAAAATTGCAGTCAATTCTTCAACCACGGTAATTAAAGCCTTCATAAATAGGCTATCTTAGATATCCTCAAGATGTTCTATTATTTTTCAAGAAAATCATCGGCATCAGTTAAAGTTGCCCTTGGAAATGCTCGCCTCACCGTGTTGAGTGGTCAGAGGGCGCGTCGGCAGGGCAGAGTTAAAAGGCACTTCTAGCATTCCATTTGCAGGGACGAAGAGCAAGGCGCACACTTTCGCACGACGACAGCAGAGCTACACACTCCTCTCACTTTGCCTGCCAGAGGCCAACTGACGCGGTTGACCAGTTCGCCTACACCGCTGGCCGCCGCTGCTGCTGCTGCTGCTGCTTCTGCTGCCGCTGCTGCTGCTGCTGCTGCTGCTGCTGCTGCTGTCTGTTGCTGCTGCTGCTGTTGCTGCTGCTGCTGTTGCTGCTGCTGCTGCTGTTGCTGCTGCTGCTGTTGCTGCTGCTGCTGCTGTTGCTGCTGCTCTTACAACTTCAGCTGATATTCTTTTTGCAACAGTAACAGCTGATGCATCCGCTGCTCATGTTGCTTCAATAAAGTATTGCATGGAAACTTTCGTAAAAGCCCAGATATAAATTGAATCAAATTGCACCATTCATATTAATCTAGAAAGGAGTCCTCAAGAAATATGTCTTTCAATAGTAATAGTGTTGTGAGCTGTCATTATGCCTGTCGCAAATTAATGACATCACAAAATTCATACAGCTTACTGGGGTTTCGAACCCCCAACTCACTGCATTTATCTTACTGTTATAAACTACCCGATCATTCTATTGATTTTGACCATAATTTTCACAAGAAGCTGGGATCGAACCCGCAACTCACTGTTCCAAACCTGCTACTATGAACTGCAATCACTCTGAATTTGAATATTATTCAATTTGAGTAGCTCTACTGGTTTCAAATCGATGCTGTACGGTGATAATAAAGGTGCACTTATCATCCAATTTTTTATCAAGTATTGCAGTTTTTTTCAGTTTCTTCAAAATGCCTAGTGAAACGTCGAGAATTTAAACAGAATTCTGCGGAAAAATTTCTTCCCATTTCAATAATCACCAAATTTTGGAATCCTTAGAAATCAACTTTATTTGTACGAATACCACTGTAATATAACCCATCGCCGATTAACTCAACTAAATACAAGGTAAATTGGAAAAATTAATCGACGTTATGATTGATTGATGCTAAATCCCCCCACCCCCCACCAAATGTTCTTGCACGCCGGAAGGGTCATGTTAAATTATCCTATTAAACTTATTAGCAAATAAATCGTTGTATATTGCTGGAATAAATTCGCAGGACACTGCCCATCTCACGCCTTTTAGAGATTTTAGGACCTGTTATATCAATAATATTTACTGGTTCGTAACTCCGCCAACCAATCATTAAAGGCTTTTTAAGCCAAACACACCAATCACAGATGAGAAATCACCCGTTACGTGTACTTAGGGGCACAACGCGCGCTGTGGCCACTACGTGTAATTTGGCCGCTAATTGTAATTGGGCCGCTAATTGTAATTAGGCAGTTAATTGTAATTACGCCGCTAATTGTAATTAGGCCGCTAAGTTTAATTAGGCCGCTAAGTGTAATTAGGCCGCTAAGTATAATTAGGCCGTTAATTGTTATTAGGCAGTTAATCGCAATTAGGCAGTTAATTGTAATTTAGCCGTTACAATTAATTAGCCGTTAATAGTTATTAGGCCGTTGCGTGTACCTAGTCCGCTACATACCCTCATGCGAGTTTAGACAGTATGGCCCTGAGTTACAGACACCACATTCTACCAAGTATTCAACGAGGTCGGCTTGCCACTAGATCGAAATTAACAACCAGTATGAACTTTTCATACATGTAACCATTTTATAATCGTCTCCGGAAAACATGGAAAGATTTGGCTTGTGTTAGTGTTTTTTTTAGGTATTAAGTTATATTTCATTCTTGAGCAAAAAAATTTTGCGCTCGTTAAAAACCAACTGATAAAACGTCATTTATCATGAATACGCATTCAGAGTCAGAGATAAAATCTTAATAAACTACATTACATGTAAATGTTAGTTATTGGCAAGGCTTTCCAGAGAAACTTATGAACGCATGGCATCCATACATGGAATTCATACTGCTGATACACTGCAGGTACGATAAAAGTGCCCTGCAGGTGCACTGCAGGTGCACTGCAGGTTCACTGCAGGTGAACTGCAGGTAGACTGCAGGTGCACTGCAGGTGCACTGCTGGTGCGTTGCAGGTGCACTGCAGGTGCGTTGCAGGTAGACTGCAGGTGAACTGCAGGTAGACTGCAGGTGCACTGCAGGTGCACTGCTGGTGCGTTGCAGGTGCACTGCAGGTGCACTGCAGGTGCGTTGCAGGTGCACTGCAGGTGCGTTGCAGGTGCACTGCAGGTGCACTGCAGGTGCGTTGCAGGTGCACTGCAGGTGCGTTGCAGGTGCACTGCAGGTGCACTGCAGGTGCACTGCAGGTGCACTGCAGGTGCACTGCAGCTGCCCTGTGTCAGGAATGCAAGGGAGCAGCACAAGGCCTGTGACCTCCAGCGCTGCAACGACGGCACATTACGCGAGTCTGGCCATACTGGTACGACTGGTTTTGAGTAGACCCTCCGAGTTATAACAATTTAGAATAGACCCCACGAGTTAGGATAAAATAGAATAGACCCCATGAGTTGGGATAATATAGACTAGACCCTCTGAGTTAGAATAATATAGAATAGACCCCACGAGATAGGATAAAATAGCTGTTCCAGCGTGACCGAGGACAGCTACAAAAGACTTACTATAAGGATACTAAAGAAATAGGCCCTGAAGTATCACAAGACCTTGATATATGAGCAGACCTTTAATTATGATTCAGCCGTCCCTCTTGGTTATCTGGGGCCGTGTATTAAGTCAATCGACCCATTGTACTCGTAAGTTAATTGTATAGTCATAATTTGTTGATTAATAGAATCTGTGAATTTTTTAATAGTCCCATTGGGTTGATTCAATAGACCCAATGAGTGAATTTAATAGACTTTAGAGCTCAATTCAATACACCGAGCGGTTAGCCAATAGGAATAAAAAAGGCAGTCATATAAAAGGAACAAGAGGCGATGGAATTAAACAAAATTTATTTTTCATTCATATATGTTATCATTTTTGTTCACTAAAATTGCTATAGAAATTAGCAATAATAAAGTATTTCAAAATAAATTAATATGCTTTCGACCCATAAGGCTGACTGAGTAAAATAAAAGTAGCGGTTGAATTGCGAGTTGCTTGAGTGGAATTGAACGAGCATTTTTAGTGGCTTTATAAAAATATTTGCCACTAAAAGGGCAAACATATATTTTCAGAAGCGTAAAAAAACAAAAATGTAGTGAAAATATTTTGAGAACAACTGCAAAGAATTCTTAATTAGAAGAAGCATTAATAGGAGAAGCAACATAAATGTACTGTACCTGCTGAAGTGCTGAAGTTTTGTGATGAAACACGTTCTGAGCGAAAAGTTATGCCTTGATCAATTGTATCCGTGGAAAACAAGTCACGATACGGAATCTTAATTTCACGTGACACTATATATGTCGTGAAGTTATATGATAAATATTTATTCCATTAGATTAATTAAATCGTAAATTATTTGCAGTCGCTGCTCCTGCTGCTCTCTCTAGTTTCACAACATGGAAAAACTTTTTTGCATCTTCCAAGTTAAGTTTTTGAATGCCAATTGAAAAGTTTCAATTTTTAGTCCAGTCCATCCCGGCAATGCGAAAATTGTTGGCCACCCAGTCCTGGATGCTCAGAAAATTTAATGTGTCATGTAATAGTGATACACCTTCGGTTCGTATCACTGATACACCCTCTAACCAACCCAAATTGTGAGTTTGGATGACTCACACAGGGTAAAAAGTTCTTCGTTATTTTTCCCCTCATTTCCCTCAGTGTACATCACGTCAGCTCGTCTGACCCTCAAGACCTGCAATTGTATGCAACAGAGTGACTAAAACATCCATACATACAAAAGTTCTAATAATCCCGTAATGGAATGAAATTTGAAATTCCAATTATTTTGGTGTTCCGAATCTCACTAATTGATATTAAATTGCAATTTAAAATTTTCAGTCGACTGCCGCCGTAGCCCTAGCGATAGACTTTACTATGTATTGCATGGTACCAACCTTAAAGCTGTTTACTATAAATAAAATAAATAAACAAACTTTTAAAAACCACGTTTTCTTAACGGACAAAAAGAAAAACATTTACTCTTACATAACATTACATAACTTAAATGTTATGTAAGAGTATTTTTAGTTTTTTAAAAACCAGGAAAACGTGGTTTTTAAAAATATTTTTATATTTATTTATTTTCTAATTTTTAGTTAGCAATTTTAGCAATTCAAATCAATTTCCAGGGTTGGCAAGTGTGGATGTTCGAGAAAAAAATCAATTCCAAACCGTGAATTTTTATTGTTTTTTTATTTTTTTTTAATTTAAAAAAAAATTTTCAAATTACCATTTCTGATGATCAAATCTTGAATTGTTAGGCAGCATAAGAAAAGAATGCATGCCAAATTTCAATTTACTAGGATGTTTAGAAGTGCTCTAAATTAAGGTTTGAATTTTTGATGACAGACACACACGAAACGAAGTCAAGAGAAACGTGGTAATTTACTGCCTGTTGCCGCCTTATGCCTCCTGTTGCTTCTTGTTTCCTCCTGTTTCCTTCTATTTCCAGCAGTTTTCATATATTATCCTACTGTTGCAACCGATTGTCATTTATTGTCTCCTGTTCTCACCAGTACCGCATTTTATCAGCTATTGCCACCTGTTGCCGGAGAAGGGGAAAAATTCATGCCCAAAAATTTGTTTTTGTTTTCATACTGATATAATTCATTCGTTCGGAAATATGGCGAATTAAATCTAAAACAAATTCTATATGCAGACACTGATGAACAAATATGTACATTTCAGCCGCCTTGTTCATGTTTGAACAAATCAAATCTTCTTACCACAGAATTCCTTGTTCCAGATGTGGCGAGATTGGCTCAGATTTGGAAAAACCAACGCAAATAAAATACTTTAAAAAACTTTTTAAAAAACACGTTTTTCGTGTGGACTAAAAAGTAGAAAATAAATTATGGTTCTCCCCAAAAAAACGTGTGTCGGGCAGATTTATGATTAAAGCGAAAAGCACACAACACTTAATTTTTGGAAATTTGACGGTGAACGTACAGCCCGACCCACGTTTTTTTGGGGCGAACCATAATTTATTTTCTACTTTTTAGTCCACACGAAAAACGTGTTTTTTAAAAAGTTTTTTAAAGTATTTTATTTTCTACCTTTTAGTCCACAAGAAAAACGATTAATAAGACTTGATCAAGTATGACTTGACGTACGTATCGATGATACGCAGCGTTAGCGCCTGCTCGTCTATAACGTGAGCGCCCGCACGTCATACTATATACATATACTATATATATACTTTACTCAATTAAACTAATTTCGGTCTCTAATTACTAGTTTTTATGATTGTATCTGAAATTGTTAGGCGAAAATAGCCTGCATGCCGAATTTCAGATCTCTAGAACAATCAGAAGTGGGCTAATCAATGTTAACAACAAACAAACAAACAAACAAACAAATAAACAAACAAACAAACAAACAAACGCGAAGCTAAGCTAAGAAAAACGTGTTAAAAACAAACAAATAAACAAACAAACAAACAAACAAACGCGAAGCTAAGCTAAGAAAAACGTGTTAAAAATGCAAATTTGTTTGCATTTTATCAGAGCCAAAAACGGCCCATGGGGCTGAAGCTCATCAAATATGGCAGTCGCCCTGGTCGGGCTTTGTCTCTGCATCAGGAATTTATGAGAATATTTCGTTTAGGCCTAATAGAAAGCGTACCCTGTGACAAAGCCTGCAATTTTACTAAATAACGTTTTCTGTCTGTTCAACATGGAAGAATAGTCCTGCAGTGACGCTAAATTTAAATATTTTTAGAGTTGATTTTTATTATATTAGAGTATTCTGACGTCTGGGACTTGTTTATCTCAGTATTTATTATAAGCAAAGATCACTCGTATTAGGTTCCTTGCTGACAGTTTGAATTCGAGGATAAAGTACAATCAGAAGAAATATTGTGTACTAAAACATCCAGTGAACAATTTCCCCAACTTTCCTAAATGTAATAGTAGCTCCGCGAAAAGTTGCAATTTTCTCTTTTGTTTTTAGAGTTGAAAAAACCTACGGATATGTTTTTGACTATTTCATTAGTGCATTTATTTGTGCAGGTTAAATAATAATTTGTTATCCGAATATGATGGTGACCCATCGCTGATTAACTTGCTAATTTATACAAAGTCTTGGAATTCATATTAAAATAATTGTTTTGATTGATTGCTCAGCATGATTAAAGTAGCGTTCATTACTTATCATTCATTTACGATAACCTTCTATGTCAGTGATGAATTAAATTACGCTTCTTGCGAAATTAAAGCAATAAAAAATATCGGTGAGATTCTTGCTGCAGCGCCACTTTTCCTCTTAGCGACGCTTGCTGCCGCGCCACACTCCCTCTTAGCGACGCTTGCTGCCACGCCACACTCCCTCTTAGCGACGCTTGCTGCCGCGCCACACTCCCTCTTAGCCACGCTTGCTGCCGCGCCACACTCCCTCTTAGCGACGCTTGCTGCCGCGCCACTCTCCCCTCTTCTCCACAACCACTCACCACTCATCACACCTAATGGGACCTAATGGATGAAGTATGTAGGATGAAGAAAAGAGGGGAACATTGCAGGATGACAAATAACGAGGTATGGAGCAGGAGGAATAAATGTTTAGCGATGAAGAAAGAAGTATGAGGCATGAGGGCATGAAATAGAGAGATAAAGTATTGTATAGCAGGCATGATATGAAGCAGTATTATTGAATGGGAAGTGATGGAGTTGCTAGAGAAATAAGGCATGAGGAATATTGACTGAGGAGTACAGGAGGAGCTAAGACGAGGCACCCCTCGCTGACCTCGGATGAGCCCCTCGGGGGATGCAGGAAGTGAAGTGACGCTTCCGCCCTCCATCCCTCCATCCCTCTTGGCCCTGCCAACTGTCTCCATCCCTCCACCCTCCTGCACACTAATTCCTCTTCGTCCACCACGCTTATTTCATCCCACATCGTTCACCCCATCACTGCCTTCTCTCCTCCTTCCATCATGTTATTCATCCACATCTTCCACCACTTGTCACAACATCCGGTCACTATTAATCCTTATCAGATGAAGCATATATATCTTGAAATATACGTATATATCTTAAGGATTTAAACTAACTACTTTAGTTTATATCCTTCGCCAATATTTATTACAGCGACCGATCTGCGAGTGAGCAGCGACGGAGCTAGTGAGCAGTGAGGGAGCGAGTGAGCAGTGAGGGAGCGAGTGAGCAGCGAGGGAGCGAGTGAGCAGTGAGGGAGCGAGTGAGCAGCGAGGGAGCGAGTGAGCAGTGAGGGAGCGAGTGAGCAGCGAGGGAGCGAGTGAGCAGCGAGGGAGCGAGTGAGCAGTGATGGCGCGGGTGAGCAGCGAGGGAGCGAGTGAGCAGTGAGGGAGCGAGTGAGCAGCGAAAGAGCGGGTGAGCAGTGAGGGAGCGAGTGAGCAGCGAGTGAGCAGTGAGGGAGCGAGTGAGCAGCGGGTGAGCAGTGAGGGAGCGAGTGAGCAGCGAGTGAGCAGCGAGGGAGCGAGTGAGCACGAGCAAGAAGAGCAACAGCACGAAGAGAGTGAGCTGGAAAGAGCGGTGCTCATACGAGCGTGCGAGCGTGCGATGATGAAAGTGAGCGCGTACGAAGCATCTCTACACGTGGCCTCGGTCGCGTGACGTCACAAGAAGTGAAAGTATAAAGACTGGGGCGAACACGCGGCCACTCAGTCGAGAGAAGCGTGTTGCGCGAGAAGCACAGTCTGACGTCAGTCTTCACCAGTCGGGGTTTTTTGACCAAGTTATTGGTTCTTCAGTCCCTGGCCATTCCTTGCCGCCGTCGGCTGTGCTGTGGCACTCTACGCTTTCTTACTAAACCTTTTCCTCCGCCTGTGATATTAAAGTCTGTGATCGCGATGGCACTCCAGGAGAAGTTCCAATCCATGATTCTCCAGGAGAAATGCCAGACCTTGGCACTTAAGGGGAGCTGCCTGCCTGTGGCCTCCCACGAAAAGTACCTGCCTTTGGCAATAACTGGGTCAACGTCTCCACCCATTGAGGTACCCGACAAAGATCTTCTAGAAAAGTTCAAACAAACTTTCACGAAGTTGCCTATCAAACCTATTATAAAAGAACGACATGAGATGACCCGTCAAGAATCAAGTCTAAGCTCGGCGAGTTACGATGACGACGACTCGACCACTGCCAACGATGCGGACGAATCGTCGTCTGAGGGCGGCCGAGAATCGTCGTCAGAGGGCAGTCGAGGAACCGGTCTACGCGCGCACCGCTCAGCCAGCATCGGTTCTGATGGCAGCGAAGAGGGAGGACGAGATTCTGGAATCGAAGCTGAAAAGGAACCTGACATGGTCATTCCGGATCAAGATTTAATTGACCGAATTGTGACCCAAGTTGAGATTTACTTTAGCGATGCATGTGTCTTGAAAGATAAGTTCCTGCTCAAGCATATCAGGAGGAATAAGGAAGGCTACGTGTCACTCAAGTTGGTGTCGTCATTCAAGAAGATCAAGCAACTGACGAAAGATTGGCGCGTTGTGGCTTATGCCCTGAACAAAAGCTCAACGGCCATTCAAATCAACGATTTAGGCACAAAGATCCGTCGGATTATACCCCTGCCAGAAATTGATGACACTCCAGTCACGTGCACGGTGCTGGCTTTGAACCTCCCTCTGGAGAAGCCAAGTATCGATACTGTATCCCAATTGTTTGCCAAGTGCGGTGACATGGATCTCATCAGAGTGCTGAGGGCGGGCGCTCCTCTCGCTGCCGAGCTCAAAACTCTCTCTTCCAAGCACCCGGCCTTGAACTCGACCAACTGCGCATGGATCGAGTTCGAGTCTCCGGAAGCTTCCAAGGAAGCGTGTAAATTATCTACCGAAGAGGGCATGAAAGTCATTCCTATCGTGCCTGAAAGTCTCAAGAAGCCCGAAAAACAAACCCTACAGAAAAGCAACCCCAACAGCCGTAAGAATAGCGCCAACAACCCATCCTACCCTCAGCAGAAGGGTCTCAACTCCCGCAAAAACAGCTTCAAGAACCTCAAGAATAACGGCTACGTCGAACAGGAGAACCAGCACAAGCGACCTTTCCTGCAGCAGCGGCGTAAGGCAGTTTCGCTTATCAATAACCAGAGGCCTAACCTCGGGGAACTTAGCGTCATCGTGGAGGGCCGGCGACGCCCCAAGAGTAAGTCTTGCGTCGAGTTTTCAGGTCAGGGCTCCGTGCCTGCAGCGGCCGCCGCGTCGTGGATGCAGAGGCACCTCTTCGCAGCGGCCGTCGCCTCGGCAGCGTCTGCTGCAGGAGTCCCCGGCAAGGCGCCCCTCGTCCAAAGGCCCTCCAGGGTCTCTTTGGGATCGCTCACGGTCCCAGACGGCGTGGCTCGCTTCCCCAAGGGACCCGACGGCACCAAGGGCTTTGGAAGTCGCCGTGTTTCTCAGGCCAATGATGCCTGAAGTGTTAAGTTCCATCAATTATTGTATTATTGTAACATTCCATCAGACATATATTGCGACTGCAATATTTATCAGGGAAATAACTCGCAAATTTTACTCGATCTTTGGCTCTCAAATTTATTTATAGTTGATGACCCGTGGGAAATATCTTCCCCGTTTCATCTCGAGTCACTTCGATCGACGATGAGGCGACTTCGACGTAACCGATCGAGTAAATTTTGCATTTATTTTCTGTCAGCTACTATCAGCTAATTATTCGAACTAATTTACTAGTATTTACTGTTTGTCAAACATATGTCATTTATTTCAGGCTGAACGTTTCTTACGAATTGCTTGTTTGTTTTCGGAAATATCTATAGGCTTCTTGCGCTGCGTAGGCTACGAAGGAATGCGTTAAGAGTACAATGTATTTAGAAGCTGGCATGTCGTGCGACACGTCATCCATAGCAACCTACCTGCCTGCACTCACTTAGAATGCTTCAAGCTTCCCTCATCTCCACTTACATGTTCAAACATTTTTTCATGGATCATACTCATGCAAGGTTGAAATGATAATGAATCACTCTCATACAAGGTTGACAACTTCATGGTTCTCACTCATCCATGTATGAAATATTTATTAATCACTCTCATTTTGAGTTCCCTCACTTTTCCATTTCGGTTTTCAATGTTTCAGGTCACCAAGTATGAACGAATTTGTGAATTTTTCACTCTGATATTGACATGGTGATTTTCTGTCCTGTAAAAATGTCTCCATGACCCCATAAAATTGTTTCATGCATTTCATTATACGTTCCATCTGATGATACGTTCATATCAATCGCCTGAATTTTCACCAATCTTATTCATAATTTCAATAATAACTCCAAGCGAGCCTTGGAGGCCTGTTCCATTTAAATGAATTTAGGACGGTTTTCAAAACTTTAGGTGTTAAACATATGGTAAATCAATTTGTAAAAAAGCGCACCACATTCATGTTTTTCCGAGTCCACAAAATATTATAAGCAATGTCTTCAGATCATACATAAACTATTTCAACTCTTGTCAAAATCGACCTTATATTACATCATTTGAGCGGGCTTGATTGTGCCAATGCGAGTTGATTCACCATCACTAATGCTATTATCATTATAATAAAGATCTCATCATCACTCTCATCATCACGTCATCACTACGTTCATCAAGTAGAATTAAAGCGATATTTATAGTTCGTTCAACACGACTGCTTTCACGCAAATATTTTGCATAGTACACCATATTTTATTCGCAGCCACTCACTGTAACAGCTCACCATCTTGCTGAAGTTTTGCGTAAACGAGAGTGGCGCGAAGAAATTATCTTTATCTTATAGTTCTGATTTATTTACGCTACACTCTAATTTATTCTTTATTTATGATTTACTCTCTATTTTTATTTCGTGCATGTGTCACCAAGGTGCTTCGTAGATTTTGTTCTATAACTCCCAACTGAAGGTTAAAGACCCATAACTAAGGACTATAGACCCTCAACTAAGGGCTTTAGATCCGTAACTATATAAGGGCTTTAGACCCTGAACTATGAACTATAGACTCTCAACTGAGGGTTATAAACTCTCATCTGACGGTCTATAACCTTAATTGGCAGTTATAGATTAAAGCTCTATACCATCTTAAACCCAATGAATCATATTTTTTCGTAATTAATAATTATACGTCATTTAGGAAAACTTTTCTCTGCATATTTGGCTTGATACTGAGTTTTTTTGTGTGAATTATGCAACTTTTATGACCGTTTCATTTTTAATGAATCTCAAATCTTTCTAAATTAAACAAATATTATTTTGTTTAGAATTCATTTAGAATTAGAATTTAGAATTCAGTTTTTGACCGCAGAAATCAGTTATTCTTTTTACATAGAAACTTAATCTTTGGTATCTCACTGCCTATTTGTTGTCAATAAATACCAATTATCGCTCTAAATTAATTAGGATCGACGTTGGCTTCGTCTCTGTAGAAATAAATGCCCTTGTTCCATGTTCTTTTTTTTTTCATCTAAAATATAATTCCTCTCTTAGTTTGAATATTTATCTCGTCTCTCTCTTTTCATTCCATCTTTAATGCTTGTAAAAATTTATTATTTATTTTGGAGGCTCTTCTCTTCAGACAGATTCTCTACGCATTCTCCCATTATCACGATTCTTGTAGCCCTCTTTGTACTTTTGTACCGGATCCTAGAATATAATTTTCTAATGTTTTAATCATAAGATTCGAAACGAAGAAAACGATATTCTATATTCTAATCTGTCCTAAATATTGTATATATTTATATGCTCCTTATTTATTTTTCTACTTATAGTACGACATTAAAAAATACCACGGATACTCTATTTTATTTTCCAAATTGATTTATTGATATTTAGCCATCTCTAATAATTTTCCCACAAAAAAATATATTTTCAACAAGTACAGATGAATTGAACATGAATTTCCGCTCGCACGTTACTCGCAATCGACCACATATCAACATTTTCGAGCTTTAATTTTAAAAATCCTTTTATCAGAGAGTATAATTGATATGAATTTGAAACAAAAATCGAATTTATGCGGTTTTGGTAATGATGAAACTATCAATTCGAATGCTTCTGCAACAAAACTTTTTTCAAATATTCATTCCCTGTTAAAGAATTGGGTTATGTTACAATAAAATTAGCTAGCCCTTTAAATGAACTGCATGGAGAAAAAACAGATATACACTATATTAAACCGAGCAAAAAAAACACGTATTTTTATATCCAGGAGATATAAAAAACTATGGACTAATCTGGTCCAAAGCGATGTATATACTACACTATATTTCTCATATCTCCACCAATCCACATTAAATTTCCAGTCGCGGTCATAAATCTGAACTTCGTACTGATTGTAGAGCCTGCGACTATGGTAAGTATCAGGGTTCGTATACCATGCGGAAGTTGCTGGTCTTTTCGTTATTAACGGCGTCTACTGATCGCGGGGCGGCAATTCGCTTCCTCGTGGTTCGTTTCCGCAATCAAGCGTGTAAACTATTAATACTTTTGTCCACAAATTCTTAGTTCCTCATGCATCATTACGCACGAAACATATTTACCCTTTAATAAAATGTGTATTTCCGAATCGAGTTTCTTTTAAACTGAATGTTGTCATCAATAACATACGAATGTTCCGGTAATGGAATATTCGTTGACGTCAAAATACATGCCAGTTATACACTATCTCGAATTATCTTTGCTATTTCAAAAAATATTTCAAGTATGCAAACTAATAACAATAATTAATAATGTGAAATAAAAACAATAAGATAAACCAGCAGCTAGTTTAGGTTCGTTGATAACATGCTCCGTAACTGGAATGTGTAATACAACCTCTAAAAAAAACTTGGAACACCATATGATAAATATATTGCAATAAAGTTTGATTTGGGCTTTCAAGAAACTGTTTCCGGTTTTTTAGCCGGATTGGATTTGCCAAGAAGATTAAATCTCAATTTATGTTGCTGTGAGCGAAAGTTTAAATTTGCCGCTACCTTACCTGCAAATCGTTTTAAACTGTTGATTATGCTGCGTGCTATGCGCAGCAATATATGTATATGTGCCATGTATCATCTAAAAAGGTATAGCCAGGTCACCCAACTTCAAAAATTAAGATAAGCCTAGTAATTGCTCTACGTTTCAGTCATGAACGGTACTTTTTCAGAATGAAAATAAACTTCCACCGAAACGGAAGTTAATGTGTTTTACAGCACTTTTTTCCTTGCCCTTTATAAAAGGCAACTCATGTTTTGGATATTATTCTATGGCCATTTTTAAGGCTTCACATGATCGGACCATTGCTTCAGCTCCAGAACGTAACCCTATCTTTCTCCTGCCTTTTAGTGACGAACATTGAGGGAGGTCGGGTGCTTTCATCTCAACCTTTACCAAAACCATTTAAGCTGTCTGATGCAGCACGACATTCGTTCGAAAACTGAACTGTAAAAAAATCCGCCTTCGAGTAATTTTCAGCTAATTACTGAATCTGCTGCTAACGAATAACTTTCAATGCTTATGGGTAACCTTTCATAAGATTTACCGTTGCATGACATAAAAAAAAAAAAACATTTTAATTTCTACTTTCATGCGTGACGATATTTAGTACGTGGCAAAAGATATCATATCACACCGTAATTTCATCTCTTTTCAGAAATCGAAATTTAATTATTTTAAATTTTCTTTTTGCAAGCTCTGATCCAAACCAAAGGTAGACCTCCAAGTCACGGCTAGATCACATTTCCATTCCGGAATGATAGATATTTTCGGGCATTGCCGAATACTGATACTCGAGCATTACCGAATACTGATACTCGAGCATTACCGAATACTGATACTCGAACATTACCGAATACTGATACTCGAACATCGCCGAATAAAAATGTTCAGTCCCAAAAAGGCAGCTACAGTACATGCTAACGTGTTCAAGCGTGAGCTCACAATTTATTGTGACAGAGCTGAGGCACGTGAATTACCTGCCTAATATAATGTGAGTCGCATATTACAGACAAACTGAGCTCAAACGGCAAAAAATTTACACGTTTTAAAAATTTAGCTCCTCACAAAACATTAAAATCCTTCCATATTTTAAGGAAGCACTCGAAACATCCTCACAAAAAACTAGGAGCTACTCCTACTTAATTGAAGGAAGCAGGGGTAACCTTCATGCTGAGCCTTTACACTAATTATCTCGCAAAGTAGCACACATCTTGCCTTCACTTTCAGTGCTTCATACAACTTCGCGATAAACATAAAAAACATAATCTTCAATGACGCTGTTAATAGCAGGTTATCAGGTTAAAAAACAAGTATCCACTATTATGTAGGTTTTCTAAGTTATGTGAACAGAAAACTAACGATTTTTCTAATAAAAAATCACATTAAACGAGAGATTGTATTTTTTCTGTATAATAATTCTATAGAAAATATGAATATCATTATTAAATTGACGATTTCGATTGATAACTTTCCAAATTCCAGCAGCCACTACATTTACGCTACTGACAAGTGTCAGCTTTTGACAGACTATCAGGAAATAAAGAATACATCCCATCATCTCATGATCGATCTCTTCAGAGTCAGGACCTTTCTTTCAGCTGAATTTACTAAAGGCAGGTGCGTGTCAGCCCCTGACTTCACCATAGACAGGCGCGTGTCAGCCCCTGACTTCACCATAGACAGGCGCGTGTCAGCCCCTGACTTCACCATAGACAGGCGCGTGTCAGCCCCAGACTTCACCATGGTAGACAGCCGCGTGTCAGCCCCTGACTTCACCATAGACAGGCGCGTGTCAGCCCCTGACTTCACCTAGACAGGCGCGTGTTAGCCCCTGACTTCACCATAGACAGTCACTCTACAGCCCCTGACTTCACCATAGACTGTCACTTTTCAGCCCCAGACTTCACCATAGACAGTCACTCGTCAGCCCATGACTTCACCATAGACAGCCACTCGTCAGGCCCTGACTTCACCATAGACAGTCACTCGTCAGCCCCTGACTTCACCATAGACAGTCACTCGTCAGCCCCTGACTCCACCATAGACAGTCACTATACAGCCCCCTGACTTCACCATAGACAGCCACTCGTCAGCCCCTGACTTCACCACAGACAGTCACTCGTCAGCCCCTGACTTCACCACTCACCATAGACAGTCACTCGTCAGCCCCTGACATCACCATAGACAGTCACTCGTCAGCCCCTGACTCCACCATAGACAGGCACTCGTCAGCCCCTGATGTCAGCTCAGGCAACAGGACCTTGACGCGGCGAGGTCAGCGCGTCGCAGTCAGGAAGCAAGGCTACATTTCCGCACGGCGTCTCGCCCGCACGCGCGCCGCATGCTCAACGCGGCCCACATCATCGTAACACTTACGATCATCTTGTTACCGTGGGCAGAACTATCAAACATAGTTACGAGTTCTTATCTTCGTCAGCCAATCAACGACGGTTCTTCAAACTAAACTCTCCTATCACGTAGGAAAAATCGCAGATACGTGTACTTACACCAATCAAAGAGGAAAAATCACCGATACGAGTACTTAAGCAAGTTTGTATGACTCAGGCCAGTAGTGGCCTAGTGGCGTAATGCTGGGATTCAAGTCAGCTGCTGAATTTCAGCAGGCTACGTAAAAACTGGTCGTGTAGTCATAAGTTTCGGTGGTTGTGGCCTCATAAGCTGGTCCCGCGGTCCTCAGTTGCGATGGTCGTTGCCTCATCAGCTGGTCCCGCGGTCCTCAGTTGCGATGGTCGTGGCCTCATCAGCTTGTCCCGCGGTCCTCAGTTGCGATGGTCGTGGCCTCTTCAGCTGGTCCCGTGGTCCTCAGTTGCGATGGTCGTGGCCTCATCAGCTGGTCCCGCGGTCCTCAGTTGCGATGGTCGTGGTCTCATCAGCTGATCCCGCGGTCCTCAGTTGCGATGGTCGTAGCCTCATCAGCTGGTCCCGCGGCCTCAGTTGCGATGGTCGTGGCCTCTTCAGCTGGTACCGTGGTCCTCAGTTGCGATGGTCGTGGCCTCATCAGCTGGTCCCGCGGCCTCAGTTGCGATGGTCGTGGCCTCTTCAGCTGGTCCCGTGGTCCTCAGTTGCGATGGTCGTGGCCTCATCAGCTGGTCCCGCGGTCCTCAGTTGCGATGGTCGTGGCCTCTTCAGCTGGTACCGTGGTCCTCAGTTGCGATGGTCGTGGCCTCATCAGCTGGTCCCGCGGTCCTCAGTTGCGATGGTCGTGGCCTCATCGTAGCCTCGGCAGTCACGCCACAGATTTTTTTAATAAGCAACGCAATAAGTAATTGAATAATTTTTTCAATTGGCTTTTGAATGAATGTTTATTAACTGATCGAAGGTTCTGTGATGCCGTAACTTCAGCTTGCGAATTCAGCCATGACGTCATATCCTCAAAATATGATGTGTAATATTATTTTATGCGTAGGATATAAAATTATTACTCCTATGCCGATACTACAAATTGAAAACGCAAAACTTTAGGAAAAAATTTTTAGGCTGTTCGAGTATAAAATACATATATATTGATCAGTAACAAAAATATTATAATTTTACCAGGTCAAGGTTTTCATAACGAGCTTCGGGACTCACGTGTAATGTAACCGTGACCTTGTGGCACGTATAGCACGTGGGTTATGACACGTAGGTGGCAACACCGCGCACTGTAACGTAACATTGCGTAACTACAGGTTACGAGGCAGGTTATGTAACCGGTGCTGTGAATGACGTCACGTGGAGGAATGATGTGAGAGTGTTTACAGGAATGGTGGAGGCATGGAGAAGGGAAAGGGAAAACAGGGGTGGGAAGGGCAGATGA